CAGATATAGAACAATCGTGCAACAAAATCATGGGTAGAAATTTATTCCATCTTCCCTGTATGCCGCGCCGCCGATATAAGCCGATATTTTTCAATCTATATACGCAATCGTTTCTTTGTGAAAAATCGCGAGGCGGGGTAACACGAACAATTGAACGTGGGACTAGTCGATTTTCTTTTTAAGGAGACGGATAGGAGGGAGCGCGGCGCACAAAAAGGTTACGGAATTTCCGGAGCAGCTTTTGGTACAGAATGAGGTAGGGGATGCACTTCAGTTGACGTGGGCGTAACGTAACGCGTGCCCCTGGGGGGTCGCAATATCGATCTCCCCTCTTCCCCTCGCATCTCCCTCGCGTATTACCTCCTCCACGTCTGTTCGTTCTGCAGCATATCAACAGCGGACAGCTCGAATTGTACAAACCTAATGGAATATATGCCTTCCTGAGAAGCCTGTCGTCCTTCCTGGGTGAATTTATTCGGAGCTGGAGATCCGCTTTCGTCGACGATGAAATATTTAAACAAGTCAAAACGTCGAAAATCAAAAGAGGAAAGTTTTGGGAGGGCGTGGGTTTCGTTATTCATTTTTAATCATTTTCATTCTCGTCTTCGGTAAATAAAACGGGACAGGGGACAGTGACAGAAGAGAATTGGTGATCGAGGTGCTTCGCGGCTGGACGCATCTGGCTCTGCGAATTCTCCATTCCGAATTTTCCTTTCAATTCGCTTCTTCATCACCATGTATAGGTAAACTCGCAAAGTTTCTTTCTCGGTTAAGAGATAATTCTAAAACTGAAAATTTTGACGTATCTCCATCCAGAATGATGCCTTACATTACAACACAATTGTAATTGGCGATTTGAACGCCAATAAAGGATCTTGGAAACGCATAGAGGGGTTTACACGACGGTTGCATATGTTGATTAAAATATATGTATATGTATATATGTACATAATAGCGATAATATCATTAATAATAAAGTTAATATGGTATAATAATATCAAGTGATCCCACGAAGGGAACAATTGTCGATTCGTTGCTACCGTCCGAGGTATACCTTCCGAGAATGATGGTTTACACAGACGCTCTTTAGATACTCTTGCACTTTGGCCGTTGTCCTCTTCCGCCGCGCAAAACGCTGTAGAAGTAGAACCCTGTCCTTGAGAGGGGGTAGATAGATAGGTGTCTTTTTTGTGACTTACATCCTCCCCTCGCGACGTACGCTGTTACGATTTTGAAAAAAGCCCTTGATCATCCAGCCAGCTAGAACTTGGCCTAAACTTGCAAAAGTATCGAACTCGCAATATAGGTATCTTAGAGAATTAAATTAAACTCTTAGAGAATTAAATTATCAGTTAGAGCCCAAGACCTCGCAGGGTTCGATATGTTGTGGATCTGTACAGTTAACACACCGACTATCCGATCGTAAATCATTGTGTCAACTTTCTTTCAAATTTCACTCTCTAGTCGATGTATGTATGTTACGTATTTTCCTGTTAGATCTTCTTCTGTCGACTGACGCTCGTCGTGATAGTCGATGTGCTAATCGAAACAACCACGCGCACAAGCAAAGAGACTACTACACTATTACATACTATCATTACAATTACTTCACTTTCCATCGTTTTCAAGTCAACGAGCTTGGAATTTCCCTCTTTATACGGGCGTTGTTCGCGACAATATTACTATTCGCGTTCACGAGATTCTGCGAGTTAGTAACATCTAATCTAAAATATGTATATCGTTCGAGGACTATTTAGATAGATCATATATATACTATTGTACAATTTGTACTTGAAGTAAACATACAAAAAGCATTCGTGTCTATTCACTAGCTCCCTTAGCGCTTATGAACTTAATGCGCACGAAGAAGTGCGCACAAGGTATCACAAAATAATATCCAAACTTATACTACTTATAGAGATATACATATATACCATACGATTGAATAACATATCGATCACTTTCTACCCGTTCGTTTGCCCCGCACTCTTTTCCTTGGCGTGTTCATAAATACTATACGATAAAAAAAATGACTATTTCTGTAATGACTTGTTGGCGTCATGACTGACAAGAATAAGATCGCCGTGAAAAGACAAGCTACGAATATTCATCGATCTCTTGCGTTCTATCACAGGTATGAATACTCCGACGCCTCTATATATATATACATACTTACTTATATAGTATATTATATAAGTATACTTATAATATGTGTATATTTTATAGATGTATTTTTTCAAATTAATAATTAGATTGAAGGATAAACGCGTCGGATAAGAACATTGAATCTCGTTGTATGATTTTCCAAACAGATACTCGGGTAAAGGAAAAATTCATGCAATTTTTGATATTAAAAATCAAATATTGATGAAATTTTGAGTTTATGTTAGATTGTAAATATCTGCCAACAATGAAAACATTTGATATATTACGTTTCCTTAGTCGTACGGATTCTAATTTTTATCACATAATTTTTTGTCCTATTCCTGGTAAAAATTCCTCGGAAATGCCCCTTCTTCTCAACTTAAAATATTTCTAATTGTCTACCAACTGTCTACTCATCTACTAATAAAAAAATTCCTATCGAACTTTTTTACTTCACGCAGAAAATTCTACTAATTTTGATATCGTGAACTTTCTCCTATATTAGGCCATATCATGATTAATGATAGCGGGGGATTAAATCCCAACCGCATATATTTCCATAATCAAAAAAGTTGTAAAAAAGTAAAATCTCCCTATTTTGGTCTCGTTAAGTTTCCGTAATTAAGTTTCTCTATTTGCCACTATTCATTGATCTACTACTCATTGACGAGTTCACGTACCATGTCAAATCTGTCGTCGTTGCAATAAACGCGATTCTCCTTTATTCGGTAGGTATTATCGAAGTTTTCGACAATACATCAATAATCTCGGGTTTTTTATTTGAGTTTCTAATAGCAGCGGACAATGCTAATACTCGAAGGTCGATATGCGATCATCGGGTGGCTTGAGATATCGATAAGATATCGTTGCATCTAAGCAGGCAAAGGGTTCGATCGCGTATCAAGTTGCATCGAGTAACGATAGTAGGTACCGTGGAAGTCCTGATACGGAATGTTAACGTTGTGTAAACAGGAAAATGTGTGAAAATTACACGCGCGATAAGATACACTGGGTGCTCCCCACGAGAATAATTTCAGACTGGACAAATTGCTCCATTAATTATTAATAGGAATTATGCGCGTCAGAGGCCGCCGTCATAAATAATCATGTGCAAGCCATAACGAATGAATTCGACGCGAGTGCTTCCGTGACTTGTCGAAAGCGCGATAACGCAACGGCGACCGCCGCGAAATAATTGCGCGATACAATTTGCGTCTCATCGATTTTTGATCGAGCAAGGGAGGGGGCGACGGGTGAAGGGGCGGTTACGGCGACGGGACCGCTGCGGGTGACGGGAAGAAATTATGCTAAAGAAAAAGAGAAAGAATGTAACGATCTATTCCCTGACGTCGCACTCACCTCTCTGACGCTCTCCTCGCTGCTTGTCGGCGCACCCGCGTTAATGTACCTCTACTTTCCGTAATTGGTAGCCATGTCAGATCTACGCATTAAGTCTACTTATATCACTCGTCGGAAATCAAATGTAATTAGATACCAAGATACATGCTATCCTCCGATTTGTTGGATTTCCGCGTGGAACGAAGGACGCAGGAGGCTTTTCTACGGCGGAAGGGTAAAGTGTGATACGTGACGGTATACCGGTATACGTACGGGATAAATTAGCTACTACAGCAAAAGATACTGGTATTTATATCTATGTACATACGCGCGCGCAACACACGTGGCGACGAACTGATCGACCCGCGCGTATCGCGACGCGAATCTCACTTGGAACTCTCGTTGAGACCCGACGCATTTCCAGAATAAGAATCGAGAGGTCGGGTCTCGTTTCGGGGACGCTTCCGTCTCAAAGGATTTTCACCGTGAAATCCGCCGGGAATAGACGTCTTTACACGGATATAATATATATATATATATATATATATATATATATATATATATATGTATGTATATAGACGTAATATAATTTTACATATGAACAAACGGACATCTACATAGAGACAAGTGTTCAATAGGCACGGTTTCAAAAATACGGTGGGATACTGTAGAGATTACTTATATCCAGGCGCTATGTGATGAAATATATCTGAAAGATCTAGGAAGGATTTATACGAATACAAATAGCCACTGTCTACTTATTAGCTACGAAAAGTACTACGATACCCCGGATTCACGGAATAAACGCTGGTTTCGAATTGTAACGCACGTTGAAACTTGTGTTTGGAGAACATCGGATCACGTCAGAGCATGTCGTAACGTGCTCTGCAAAAAAAAAAGCGGACGTTTCGAAAATTCTCTTTGATTTATGTAACTCGAAAAGTAAATCCTTATAAACAACCTACGCTCGTGTAACATTTCATTTCTTGCTCGAGCTCAGATTCATCGCCTGAAATGTTGTATACCTAATTATAGATAACACTGGATTTGCACTCTTCACGTGGCTGTTACGCTTGTATGATCCAAGAAAGCTTTAAGCTTATTAATTTTAAGCCATCAAATGTGATACATTTTTAATTAAAAGCTTAAGCCAAAGCATTTGGTTTCTAGTATTATTAATTACGATCAGTAAGCACAATAAACTTCAACTTGATTGCCGTTTATCGCTGAGTTTACAAACTTGTTAAATTATTTATTACTTAACTATCGCAGAAATCGTTTGCGTTACTTTTCATTTTATTAAGGAAAGCTTTAAAAAGTGGCTAACAATTTACACTAAATCTAGAGCTAGATCTTTCCTAAAGGATTATATCTGAGAAATTGTAACAGTTGGCACGCACTCGCGTGTATTTCGCGATCCGGTTCCGATCAATTACGTTCGATCAATTATAGGACAATCACTTTATATGTAGATGTGGATAATGGTGAGAGGGGGAAAACAAAGTTTTAGTAAGCGATTAGCATGGAATAAGAGTATTTTTAATGATTTCAACAACAACAGGTACAATAACCAGTGTTTACCTGCAGTAAATACGTTGTAATTATTCTCTTTCTCACAATTCTGTCTTTCTCTTTCTCTCTTGCACGGTGTTTGCCTCCTATTATTATTCTACTAGCCGCTTAAATCTAAGTCTCATTACCGTCTTTTGCGCTTACCCATCTATATATACGGATAACCAAATTATTTACGTGATTACTAGATCATTACTAGTCAGCTGTCTAGCTAGCTAATTCTATTCTAGTTGTGTGTACGTGTGGATGTGTACGCGTTGCAGAATTTGGGTCTTCTTCTACTGGCAATGATCTTATCATTTTTCTTAGTCGTTTGATCAGCGTTTATCGGCTTGGTGAAGATACATTACTTAAGAGACGTCTCGAACGAGTAAGAGGATTCGAAATAAGACGAGTGTAGTTAGTACCATGCGGATCAATACTCCGTGCTCCGTTACTTTTACATCGGTCGCATTGTTGCAAACACGTGGCGAAGTTCGCGAAAAGAAAATAATGAAATCATTGTCAGTGGGACAGAATGAGCGAAAGAATGGGCGCTACATCAAAGCCTCTCCGAAAGAAATACGGGAAAATACAGAAATATATCAATCTCAACTTTATCTCCCTACACGATTGCAGGGACTTACGCTATGGAATAAATTCGTGTCTCCCACACATAAACGAATAAATAAATAATTAAATAAATAACTAACTACGTCGGGTGTACGTGTACGATCGTCGCGATTGCTCCGATACCGCAGCTCTTCAACGCCTTCGTCCAAGTTTCTTCGTTTCGGCGAAACGATTTTTCCGAATTGATATTGAAGCGATATCGTATACGTGCGACGACGATCGTCGAACAATAATAATAATGATCATAATAATTAATGACATAATTATATGAAAGAGATAGAGACTGGATAGCTGGAGACTGTGGTTGATTGATAACAGATTATATGTCTCGCATAGAGCTAATGATACTTATGATAAGGTCGAGCTTTTCAATTATCACGTAAGAGATATATTGCTACTAATTGTAAGCTACGTATGCGCTAAAAGCCGAAGCAAATCCGGTCTTCGAGAAAAGCCGTCTTTCGTCGGAGAGATGAACACAAAACTCACAAAATATTCTTCTCCTTCCCCCTCTTCGAAAAGAGAAAGAAATCGCCGAAACTGCCGAAAGAAGGGCGATCCCCGTGGAAATACATATATAATCGACATTCACACGTCGCGTTCTCCCGCAACGAATGACGAAGATTTTCGAAGAGCGGTACTCACTCCGGCCGTCACCTGTCATCACGCTGTCACAGTACGACACGTTATGTGAAGGTCAATCGACCCAACTCAATGTTTTCGTTCCACTTTCGTAACAATACGCGTATACGCGTATATATTGCTGACTGTTGGTCTCTTAAGGACACCATTTCTAAAGTTTGTCGTAATATAGTCGTTCGATATCTTGACGAACTAAATAGAAGAGAAGAAAATTGACGTAGCGGACAGCAGCAAGTCGAAAGCCGATCACAAGATTCGGTGCCGACTACTACTTATCACGTTTCGTATAATACCTTATGAAATTAATCAACTCACTAAAGTGCTCTCCTTTCTCTCTCTCTCTCTCTCTCTCTCTCTCTCTCTCTCTCTCTCACTCTCTTTCTCTCCCTCTCTCTCACTGAGATTCACTCATTTCCAATAAATATCGTTTAATATCTCAAGAGGAAAATATTTACATCGTATAGAGAAAAGAGTATTTACAGTGTGAACTATATATAAAAGAATAATGCTTCTCTATCATGCTCATCACGTACGAAAATTTCAACGTGTGTCGAGTTATAAGGCGGGCGATAGAATCAACGTAAAGTCGTTCTCGTCGTTGCAAGATACACGAGTATTCTTGTTTTTTTTTTTGGAAGACTCCATTTTTTTGATTTCCGAATATTGTCGTGCAACGAGTCGCACTGATACGCCGTTCAATCTAAACGTCTCAACATTGTTATAAAATATAACAAAATATTTCATATGTAACTCCACAATGTGGAATCTGCGATACTACAAGGTATAAAGAAGTTGCATGAGAAATTTCGATGTAAAAAAATCTACTTTATGCAAATAGAAACGTCGAGGTGACTGTGTTAATTTTTATGTGAAAATTAGTTTGCAATAAAAATATAGTCAGAATTGCTCAGAATTAAACTGCGTTGATATCTCAGACACGGGCGCAAGTTTCAATAAATATTTCTTAAACCTGTAATTATTTATGTGTATCGATATCATCGACACATCATACTCATTAATAAAAGATCTTGTGAAAAAATGTATTACTAAAATCAAAAGACATTATTTATTATAATGTTATATCATCGTATAATGTTGCATAGAGAGCAAGAAACTCTTCCGCGCGATTTCATTATTATTGACTTTATGAAAGCTTTCACAAAATGCAACAAGATAGCAAGACAAAGTAATTAATTACACGCGAGTTACCGCGAGACAATTATTCTTTGGAATTTATCGTTTATTCTCACTTTCAAAACTATGAATCATCCTTGGAGCTAAAGATACAGTTTCAAGCGAATATTTATCGTGTTGAGAAAACTAACTGGATGCTCTTGTAAAATATATCGCATTGTTTTTTAGCTCAGATTGAGCAGATGAACAAGTAATCCAAAAGCCGCGGTTATAATGAAAATTATCGCGTGTTGCAAAAATTATTAACTCTCACTGCGCACGACGTTTCGTCAATTATAAGTGACATGCATGACCACTATTTTATCTCGTTAATTAAAATCTATTTTACTCTAAAATCTGCGCCCGTTTTCCAATATGTATCGATATGCGAAAATTGTAAATATTCAATTATATAAATATTCATGGATACTTGCGACCGTCAATGTATTAATTGTCACACAAGTTCACGCCTTTAATAGATAATTATCTTCATTTATATTATTAAGATACGTCTTGCATAATATCAGCAAATTGCTAATTTAAATCGATTGATGGATCGTTTAAAAGAAAAAGATTCACTTATCTCAGGAAATGAATAATCGTCTTGTGAAAAGGATATTCAAATATACACAACAATATATAGTGTTTCTTAAAGAACACCAACAATAAAGAAAAAACGCCGAATAAAATATGCACGCTTCTGCAAATTCTGAAATATCTTTGGATTCCTCTTATTAATTCATTAATACATGGAGTTATTTGCTGTCACCGAGATAATTGTATGAAACGAACAAAGCGGCACAATGTCGGCTCGTTGGCAAAGCGTCGCGTAACAAAACAATTCCGTGACAATTTCTTCTTCTGTATGAAAAAATCGAGAAACTGAACGTCCCTTCGTCAAATCTATATGTATGTTCTAGCGCACGCTCGGCTTTTTCGCCTTTATTAATCGTACAACCGTTATATACGCATAAAAGTAGATATATGTATATAGATTGATTTTTTGTAATATATATCAATAATTTATATATATATATATATATATATATTTGTTTTTATAAATATAATTGCGTGTCTACGTAATGTATATGTGTCAATGTTTGTGTGTACCTGTATATGTGTGTATATAATATATACGTATTGGAAGAACAAGACGCCGCCACGACGCGCGTGTCCGGCTTTAAAAAAGCGCTATGAAAAACGCGTGGGTCCCATTTCGAAAAAGTCACTCGAAAAGTAAAAGAGCAGTCCTGGTGCACGCTGTCGTGTTGTACGATGCACGATCGTTTCCGGTGCTCTCTTTTTTTTTTCTCGCTTTATTGTCGTGTTGCGACAATACGTCTTCGTCGGTCTCGCAGCCTCCTAGCCGAAACGTTTTCATGTATATCTTGTCGGAGTAAAACGCAAAAGAATTCTTGATTCGCGCATCGTTCTTACAGGGTGACTCACTATATAACAGCGAGATCTCAACATTTCCGTCGCGTTTGATCATTCTCGCGAACTTGAACCGCATGTCCAATACGAATTGAAATAATTGGAAATTGATATGTTAATAATAATATTGTCGCGTACGAGTATTATCACGTTTTTGATTTTCGAAAAATTTTTAATCGTACGTTCAGCGGAAAGCATTAACGTTATGCGATCGAATGTAGCTGTGTAACGGGGATATAAGTGATATAACGTTACGTTATTCGATATGTGAGGGCTCAAATTACCTCTTTGAAAGAGCGAATGTTTTCAAATTGAGTTACTCCCGATACACATATCACCCGTGTAAAAATCGATGTGTGAGTGCACCACGTTTTTTCACGCGAGACTTTAAAATTGATTTCTTCAACAATCTCACTATAGTAAATGTCACAGTAATGATAATGATGATGATGAGAATAGTGATGAAAATGACTGGTGACATTGATGGTGTTGGATGACAGCAATAACGACGAACCATTTTACAGATATATTCAATAATATATATTTATTTAAATCACACATGCGATTACGTAAGGCCTCACTGCCTCTTACGAAGCGGCTGTCTCGCATCGCGACAGGATGCATCATCAATTATGACATATCGGTATATTCAGACTTTCAGTATGTACAGACTTCCTTCGTTAAAGATATTTATGATGATTGATGTCTGACGAGCAAGTGTTCGAAATCGTGTAACTATAAATTTTCGTAGTGTTGAAACGTGTAATAGTGATAGGAATTACAAGATGGGCGAATGTAAATAACGAATCTAGATTTGTTTGCGGAAATGCTTTCTTTTCCCCCAGGGAACATTTTCCCGGTTTGACGTGACGACACGGTATGGCACTGATCATTTCCATTGAGAATTCATCGCGAGCGCGAGACAGCCGCTCAGAAATATGTTAGTATGTACAAATCGTTACACATGCACGGGCGCATTCTCGTTGTGCAGCCTCGATATAGGCGTTTTCCCGTCAACGAGTTAGCCCCGACATTGGTATTTTATAATAGTAGACTATCGCCGTGGGAACGATACGTTTCCATCGACCGTCGTATGAATCACAAAATTGTCCGACACTCCGGCGTGTCCTACATCGAAGTGCGACGAATAGTGCAAAAAAAAGGAGTTGTAAATGTACATTCCATTTTGATTGACATTTAATGCCGTTTTTCTACTAATAAATCACATAAAGGCAACTACTGAGAATGCTGTAGCGCGAGATTTTGAGATTGAATTGCATTTGTCACTAGCGTTCTCCGATACATCTTCCCCTTTTCGGAACCACGATCAAAACGCGATCGTCTCCACGCTGAGTTTCAGTCAGTAATGTAATGCCCAGAATCGGAATCGAGAAAGTCAGAACCGTCGTATTTTGTAAATTGCACTTCTACGTTTCACGTTTCGCTCTGAGATTTCCGCGTGTCACACAATGGGACTCTTTAGTAAGCAGGTTTTACATGGAAATTCCCCCTTGAAAATTTCCGCGATATTCGATCCAGTTTCTCGAATCGTTCTCCTCGGCTTCCGCTCGGGTCCGACGACTTTCGAGACCGACTCTAAGTCAGATTACTCAAAAGTCGCAATTATGCACATAACTACGCCTACACCATCGACGATTCTCTATCGCTAGTACTACGAGCGACATTTACTATACAATACGTGATACGTCTTCGCTTCGTGTTAACAGCGAGGAATAAGGTACACTGAAAACGATATTGTTATTCGATAACACCAATGCTCGCTATGTAAGAGGCCCGCGTGCATCGCATCCGTCCCTACAACTTTTCAAGATACGATTCACTATTCGTCTCACATTGAAGCGCTAAGTATTATAGATATCTCATCATTATTATATCTCTATCCTATAACAAAATTACGATTCTCTATTTTACTTTGATAAAAGGTTGATATATATATAGGTATATTTTTGTAAAAAGTGGATATGTTTGAGACATATACATATGTTCGTGTACAATTGTGTTAATGCTGTAATGATATAAAAGTGTGCTTTCAGCAAATTGGTAACACCAAAGATTCTCTGTCTACGTGAAACTCGAAGCGTAAAACGCCTCTGGCGATGCCTGTCGCGTTCTGACAGATGCGATGCTCTTTCAGTACTCCAAACACATTAATTCCGTCATGTTCGAGCACGGTGTTTTTCAAACTATTGCCAAAACCGTTTGGAAACTACTTGGGCCTCTCGCCCAAGTAGAGATAGATTGTAATTCGTCATACGTTTCGCGTCATACGTTTGGAACGCGAAGTGTTAAATCGAATCCGTGAGTTGCTGCTCGCATTAGGGAAGAAAGCTTATTTTTCTCAGATTGTTTTAACCCGCGCAAGAACGGGCTACTTAAACACATCCCAGTGTCGAAAAAATAAGTTGACGTTACAGTAATTTTAATGTGCTTTCGTTTAAAAATTTTTTTTGTTTTTCCTTACTTTTTTCGGAAAATGTTGAGTGAATCTATTACACATATTGTCTTCAAATACTGATAAATTAGAACAATCCAAAATATCCAATTTGTAATTAATAACAATAACTTTTAATTGGGGTGTAAACATAGTTCCAAGTGACCATTTATGGAAAAAAAAAAAAAAAAAAGAAAGAAACGTTTTCGGGTTAAATCTACATCTTTAAAAATTGACCTTTTTAAGAACACAAATTCAAAATTATTTGAAAGTAATCTGAGTAATCTCCGATTCTGATCACGGTAAAAACATTCCGATTGAAAAACACCAGCTCGACCAGTCGAAGTAAGATCTACAGGGGCAATATCAAAGTGAGAAGAAATAAAAGAAAAAAGGGGAGGGGAGAGAGAAATAATGAAAAATAGTCTTACCTGGTTCCGCCATGTGCACCGTCCCTCGCAACAGTCCTCTCGGTGCGCCAGCCTTGTTCTCGCGTTCTCTCTAGCAATCGACACTCAATTCTACTGCCTATAGAAATTAATATGCGTCTAAATCGCGGGCGTCCCAGGGCTTTTCCTGCCGTATCTTTTCTTTCGTTACACGTGGAGAGCAAGATGGGGATAGAGTTCGGATTAAGGCACTCGGGATATATCGAATCGATCGTTACAACATCGAGGAATGGGTTTCGGAAGGCGGGGGACTGAGGGTGAACGCACGAAGAAAGCAGTTAGAAAGCGTCGTTGAGCACGGGGTTCCGAAAAGGAACGGGTCAAACGGGTGGTGTATATATACTTTCGTTTATTTTTCCGGGTACACCACCGAAAAATCATACGAGGGGGTAGTGATTGTGAGGAAGTAATAGTCGCCTCCTCGATTCTTCGAACGCATCTTTTCGGCGAATAAGGGATCCTTCTTTTTTTTTCTTCGGGGGTGAAGAAACGAGTTGGTGAAGGATGAGCGTACGGGTAAAGCAGTCGCTTTAATCCTCGGCTCGCTGCCTTCGGCTCGCTTTTTATTGCTTCTACGTCTGCCGGAAGATAGACTCACTCTACTATCACATTTAGCGAGAATATTCTTAGCTCTCGTGTCCGTACACTTCCCATATACGGTGAGAAGGAGGGAGGGGGAATGACAAAGAGTAGACGAGTATCATCGCGTTACCGACACGGGGGTGTAAAAAATTCGCTACGATCTATTTAGAGTACCCCAGTTCGGCTAATTACTCTCGTTCCCTCTCTTTCTTTGTTCGCTAATTGTTCTACTTACGATTAATAAGATCGACGAGATCGCGCCACGCTTGACGATATATGCGTGAGATAACTCTGTTTTCAAAGGCAAGACGATACACAATACATACACAGAGTAAGCCAAAAGTCTGGGGGTACAGTCGAATTTCTCGTAAACAATGCATTTTAGAAAAAACTGTTTTAGACAAAAGTTGTAGGGTTTAAAAAGATTTATTTACTGACCTTATTAGTTTGATCTTAGGTAGCGCCCGTAAGGTCAAGTTAGGATCACTTTAAATTTTTTAAATTGAACAATGAAAGGAAGCGAATAATAATATTAATTTTTACATTTGCAATTTTGCAAAATTTAATGCGTCTACAAAACGCAATAGAATTTTTTAAATCTCTTTTATTGTTTTTTTTACAACAATCGATTCCTTTCATTATTCTACGTATAAAAGTATCAAGAAGTCATCAAAAAGTGAATATTTTATGAGAATTTCATATTTTATATTAAAAATGTCATGACAAACTTTGAAATATCTCGGGTAATTCTTAACGAAAGAGAGTTTTATTATAGTGTTTTGGAAACGTCTCGATAAGGGCTACAAGAATATGCAATAAAAAATAGAGGATCTAACTTGAAAAATTCAATATGGTCCTGATTTGACCTTAACGACTTCACCTAAGGTCAAACTAATACAGTCAGTAAATAGATCTTTTTAAATCTTACAACACTTGTGTCTAAAACATTTCTTCCGAAAACGTCATTTTTCCGAGATAATCCAGTGTCCCGACCTTTTTGTTACACCCTATATATACGTTACGTCCTCTGATATACAGTGTCTGATATTGGTCACCGGCAAGACACAAGTACTCGCGTGAAGGGCACGCAACAAACGGAAGGAAACGCAACCTCTTCGCGGAGTAGATTGGTTTCCTTTTGTATATTTTCGGAATACGGTTCGGGTTCTCTCTGCCTTTTCTGAAACGATACTCGGGACTTGGAAGTTCTTTCTCCGTGCTGTGATGGAGCCGACGCGCTCGTATCGGCAAAGCGCGTTTTAGCGATGGGCGGATTCATCATCCTTTCGTCAGATATGAATCATTTATATCCGCTGCTCTTCTCGATTTCGCCGTTATAAAGATTACAATTGTAGTTTCCAGCATAAACGGTCGTTCTTGAAAAAGAAAAAACGGTCGGCGTGAAAAAGAAAAAAAGTATCTTTGTTTTATTCTTCTCATAAACGCGATAAATTTTACTGAAAATCGGACGTAAAAATAATATGCATCCGTGCAACAAGTGAACAAATTTTCAAAAAATTTACATCAAAACGTGGCAAAATAAATTAAATATTTACAATTAGTCAAGTATTGCGGAGAAAAGAACGGCGCTCATCGTTAAAAAACGGCTTTTCTGATCGAGCGTAGATAGGAATCAGTAATTTTTCGAGGTGGGATAAGGTGTGGTTTCGTTTTCACACGACGAAAAATACACCTACGCGCCTCCAAAAGCTAGTAGAACACACATCTACTTCGATATAAAGTAGCAAAACTGTACGCGCCATGTCGTCCGGCTATGGATATGTATTATCTGTACTCGTTAAGAGGAAATTGGATACGCATTTAGGGGAGAAAATAGAGGGAAAAGGGAAAGGAAGAGGTACGAAAACTAGGACGGAGGACAATACGAGGAACGTGTATAGCTGCTGGCATAAAATCGAATTATTACTGTATTTTTCTACGTTATCTATACCAAATGTGCAAAGTTAAAAGCAATAGGATTGTGCAATTGCATTATGTTATTTGTATAACAGAAGTAGGTTAATTAATGTTCACTTTCATCTTAAATTTCAATTCCGTGCTTATTACATATTTATTTATTCGTCCGATTTATTTTCTAGTGAAGTTTTATTAGCGCTTTATTCTCAGCGATTACACAATTGTAGAATTTAATTCATTTTTACAATCACATAAAAACAAGCGTATGCATATATTAACTTAAATTAACGCACCAACTGTGCATGTTGTTATAATCTTATTAACTTTTCTTTTGCTATTTCTCTCTTTTTCTTGTGCAAGATTTAAATAAATATAATTGGCAAATGCTTCCTTGCAGCTATATCGCTTCTCAGGAAAGGGAGCATTTCTCTCTTAATCGTTATATTTAAAAAAATTGAGATTGAGAAAAATTGAGATAAACAAATGTTAACTGCGAGGTTAACTGCGTTCTTTTCACGCGGGGACTAACAGGAAATGGATAATGAAGGAGGAGTGTCAATTAAATACGTCGGGAGATATACTCTTACTTGCCGGTTAGAGTGCGCCAGAGGTGGTCTAACTAAGATGCATGCGCTACAACAAATTCGCCGATTGTTTTAAACCACTTAAGAAGCGTCAGGGATGATAGGGGGAATAGGAGACATAATCATTAAGATGACTATCTAAAGAAAAAAAATGCGCGCTATTCTCTGGTTGGCCGAAACGGACATGGAAAAGATTTCAAAAGATTCGATCTCGATCCAATATCTTTAATCGTTATGATGGTTATGACTCACTGGTAATGATGGTCATGATGGTTTCATTATCATACAGAATCGACACGTTCAAAATGTTCCAAAATTACCGGATAACTTTCTCGCTGGTAGAAAGAATCTTAAAAATCCTTTAAACGCAATTTTTTGAGATTGATTCCAACGAGAAGCGAAAATATGAGATTTTTAATTTTTAGATAATTCCGTTATTAAAAATAAATGGCTTCTAATGAACTAAACTCGACTGGAGAAGAGACCTAACAGAATCATAGTTCGGTTAATCTTAATTCGAAGCTTAGTTACGAAGTTGCGACGAACAGATTGAAAAGGTGCGATAAAGGACGATTCGACGCCAAGGTAAAAGAAGTCTTGAGAGACATCCAGTGGTTTTGAGACATGCTGTATAGCGTGCACGTCAGTAATCCTCTTTATACAGAGAGCAGCAAATAGAGCAACAAGTGATACCGAAGTTGAAAGTCGGCCGACGTTACCGAAGTAAATGTAATATTCTTCTTTACGAGATCCGCGCAGGTTTTTGATTTTTCTCGTATATTCGAGAGGCACAAACTCCGAAAGGAGAAGTCAGGATAAAAAATCCGGGATATCCTCGGCGGTAGCCCAATATCTCAGAGGTATAGCGCCGCGCGAGGTAATAAATTCAGCTGCGCGATTAAATGAATTTTACATCGTCACTAGGGACCGTACAAATTTATGTTACTATTTCGCTGATGGAACATCGATCGTATAATCGCAAGATGATCGAAACTATAAAATACAAGATATAGCGCAAATTCTTTGATGTTACAAATTCTGCCGCATTCGTTAAAAGAATTTTATTTCAATAGGAATTAATTTTATAAAGGAAATCTTATAAAAAATTTATGAAAATTGTATAATTTATTATCATTTTTTTTCCAAGAAAATTAAGAGTTGCTAAAAGTTAAGGATGTTCTGGAGGTACCGTCCCAACCAAAAGTATCCGGGAAATATTAAAAACACCGATATTAATTCTCCAGGGATCAAAAGACAAAAAAATGTATATAAATAGTTACGGCACATCTTTGTGCCCATCTACAATAAGTGTTTTAAGCCCTAAGCCCTAAAAATTGACCAATCACAGTCAATTATTCTCTTCAAATTCAATTGTGATTGAATAATTTTTTAAGGCTTAAAGCTTAAAACATCTATTGTAGATGGGCACTAATAGAATGTAAAAGACGTAGATTTAGTGACTGTAAATAACTGTTACTATTAAAAAAAAAAAAAAAATATCTTGAAAAAAAAAATTGTAAATCGTTTCAAATTTTGTTGCTATATTTTTGTTTGTTGATGATCTACTTGTGTGTAAAATATTATTATATTGGTAGAATTTTTTAATGTTCATACTTTTCTCTGGTAAAACCCTTTGTAAAACGAATATTCAAAAATTGATAACTTTTTATCTAAATTGTGAATTGATTTGAAATTTGGCCCCGAACTTTGGAAGAGAATACAGAATATGATATTAAATTTTCATCAACTTCGTAGCATTTTGACTATCTATCCAGAGCATACTATTTGCATGTAAAAAAATCACTTTCGTAGCATTAGTCGTACAAAATCTTTGTTTTTACGAAACTTTGATGACTCACTACTATCTTACATCTCGGAGGTTTCAGATTTTGATTTTGATTTCGAAAACTTTGGTATCTTATTTCCTTCTTTTCTGTATGAGAACATGTATGGAATGAGCCACGAGAGTTTGGACCAACCAGAAAGCGGCTCGAAACGAGCGCCCAGCGGGGTTAACGAGACTAATTACAGTTTAATATTAATTTGCCAATTAACGAGTTGCCACCTCCGCGGGGCGCGCGACGCCGCGTGTTCTACCGGGGCGCAAAACACAGACGCTTGATCGAGCGTTAGTGATAAGAAGTAAAAAACAATGATTATTATTACGAGGAGTAGTAAAAAGAAGGCCGATTATACGATGTATATAAGTACGCTACATATATACGTCTTCTATATAATATAATATAATATATAAAAGACGTAACTATGTATATGTATATTATATGTACATTAATTAAGAAGATAAAAGGAAGGAACAAATAAACGTACACAATAAGTAGATAGGATAATCAAGTATATACAGTACCAATGTAATTACTTGTTGCCAACAAATTAGGCAGGACATACGAGGTTTATCAATAATAAATAAACAAGAGATGGACCGTAGATGTGGACCGAGAGTTCCTGGAGGAATCTATAGCTATATATAGAGAACGAGAGGGGGGTGGGTGGACAGGGGTTAGGTGAGAAAATACATAAAGGAAAGATATACACAAATAGAGGTTAGCTACAAGTTTTAAACGACTACTTTATTGGCAATTTTTCTAGGCATCAACCTATACTATTTTTACGTTACGTTTTCGTTCGTGTGTTGTTCTTGGCGTGCGCCATCGAGCGTACTCTTGCGTTAATATCGTATATTTTCCTGCCTTGTATGTACACGCGCGTGTATATATTGTATGTACGTATATGTTTTTTGTGTGCCTGTCTCTGTGTGTGTGTGCCTGTGTGTGTGAGAGTGTATTTTTCGTTGGTACACGCGTGTTCATCGCGCGCGTGCTCTAACGCAAATATGAAAATTGTCGCTGGACGATCCGTCGGAGTTTTCCTTTTTCATCGGAACAAGACAACGTGTCGGAAAAGTCAAAACAAACGAATCAAGCAAAGCGGAAAAAGAAACGGGGGCAAACAAAATAGAAACGCGAATTAAGTTGGAAAATCGAACGTCGCGTTTACATTGGCTTCCATATGTGTCGCTAGCGACTAAACCGATCTG